AGATCCTTTGCGTAGTTTTAAAGATCTAAGCATACATAGGGACAGATACAACGACTTTGTTTTATACTATGTAGTGAAGCAATCACTCATGCTTCACGGGCTAAGCTTAGACAGCTAGTTTTCCTCCTTTTTATTGACATTGTCCTACGAAATTGTTACTAACATAAAACCTACTTAACCGATTATCATGAAACTTTGTACACATATTCTTAGAGGTGTTAAAAAGGCAAAGGATTATTTTTATTAAAAATATAATTTTTAAAAGTATATATTTATATTAATGAATTCAACGCGAGCGAAGCCTCGAGTAAAAGCTGGTATAATCTAATATATAAAATTCTCGTGTCACGGTCTTTGTAATTGAACTCCTCCGAAACGGCTCGACAGATTTTCGTGAATCTTAGCGTGCATATCGGCCAGGGTGGAGAATCGGACAACCTCTATTTTTCATTCCCCTAAATGTTAAGGGTGGTCCACCCCTAATTTTTTTTTAATGTTTGTTGTTAATTTTTTATGATACAGCATACAAAAATACATACAACCCTAAGTTTTCACTCCTCTACGCAGACGTAGTCGCGGGCAGCAGCTAGTCTAATAAATAAAATTCTCATATCACGGTGTTTGTAATTGAACTCCTCCGAAACGGCTAGACCGATTTTCGTGAAATTTTGTGTGCATATCGACCAGGGTGATGAATCGGACAACATCTTCATTTTTCGTCCCCTTAAATGTTAAGGGTGGTCCAACCCAAATATTTAGTTCTACCCTACAAATTCCTTAGAAATAATTTATACGGCAAGACGTTTGCCGGGTCAGCTAATATTATAAAGATGAGTTGTATTTTTGTATGTTTGTAACGAAAACACTCAAAATCTACTGAGCCGATAGTAAAAATTCTTTTACCATTAGAATGCTTCGTTATCCCTTAGTAACATAGGCTATATTAATTACATGAAAAAAATTGGGTGCTCTATTAAAACGTCAATAATTTAGCCTAAAGTGTAGTAAATGTCCACCCGTGTGAAGCTGGGACGAGCCGCTACGGGTTTAATGTGAATATGCTGCCTCTAAGTTCCAAGCTGTCACATACTGCAAGGAGCAAAACACTTGTCACAGTTTGATGTCTAAGTTTGCCAATTTATTAAAGTTCGAGGAATGACTTTCGAAGTTCTGCTACAAGCAAACTGTTCATAAATTTTGGTTATATACATAGAATTAATATGAGTCAGTGCTTGCTGATCAACTTATTTCCCGTTTTTCGGATATGCAGTGACAAGCCAATGAATTGCTAAAAGTATTAGCCATCTCTGTCACTCAGTTGGAATGAAAACTCAATTATGTATATGTACCACAATCTCTTATCTGCGTTTATGCTAACATAGCTTCAGAGAACTTTCAAACGGTATTGGAATGAATATGATTTATATTTATATTTTAAGAATGTGAAAGAAAATAAAAAAAACGGTAACGAATTTTGATCATTTATTTTACATGCATGTAGGTTATTTACTCTGTGCACATTATGTGCGGTAACCTACGGTTCGATTTCCCTCTAGACAATGATAGATGAACATTTGTGTCCTAACATGTATGACACACTTAATATATCCATAAAATTACATTCTCTTCTTAATTTATTAAAATATAGGTATAACTAATTCTGTTGGATACATCGGCTATAAATTAAGCTTTGTCTAACGCAAAGCTTATAAAGAAATTCAATAAAAGAAGAAAAAAACTAAGTTAAACAAGACCGCTTTTAAAGAAAGAAAAACCTAACAAAAATAAAAATAAATCGCCAGTTTGTAACAGTCAGATTTTAGTTGAAGACAAGCTTTTAAATCTATACATAATTATATTGTCAAAGGATTGGAAAGCCAGATTGAAAAGTAAATAATAGTATAGTTTATGGCTATAGTAACATCTTATACATGTCCTACTGCTGGGAAACGGCATCAGAGCATAGTCTACCTCGCAGCCACTGCAAATTGGCGGATTTCACATATTAGCTTCGAAATATTTTTTCTTTGTTATTATTTCGAAAATATGCAGGTTTCCTCACGTTGTTTTCCTGAGCACGTGATAATTCATCGCTTTGGTTTAATACTACCCAATAAATTAACGATTTCATTCTTATTTTATAGCTAACAATGATAATATAGGATTTAGTTTAATATAGGGAAACACTATAAAATGAACCTAATTTTTATAAAACACTGTGAGAATCAAAGTTATTTGGGTGATATCCGATTAGCTCAGTGGCTAGAACGTCAGGCCGCGAATGCCGAAGACGTGGGTTCGATTCCGACAGCGGCGACTATCTTTTCGTACTTTTTCCACATGTTTTAATTAGCAGATTAGTAAGGAAAATAGATAAGGATTCTGTAATAACGGAGGCAAATATAAACAATGAAATAAGCGAATATAGCGCGAACAAGTATTTTTTCTAAAATTAATAGTATGCATATGTACGAGTAAAAGAAGTCTTGTGGACATTCATACACATGCTTTAATATTCCGTGCTTATGTCGACAGAGCAAGCTTAATTGTCCACCGTCGACCAATTTGTGCGTGTCACAACTGTCCCTCTAGAGAGAAACAGGTTTAGTTGGTTCGAGCGAGTCAGATTGTGCTCTGTACGATGACGGTGAATTTTGAATGCGAAATTCATGAAAGGGAATTTCATTTGACATTACTGCGCCCTCAAAAGAGTTGAAATGTAAAAGCCGTGAAATGTGTTTGTTTATCAAGTCTAAAGGGTTGCAATATTTTACCGCTTTTGAAAATGTACACGTTTCGCGGTTGATATGAAGGAATTTATTGTTTCATAAATTTAACATGTATTCTAAGGAAAAGATGAAATAGTTCATAGTTTTTGACTGGACCTGTTCATTCGTGCAACAGCGAATATTGTTTCGTGGCTCCACCACAGCCAACCAATAAAATGTGGAATGAAAAGCGAGAAAGTGCCGTATGCTTTATGTTTGGTACAACTATGGAGAGCTTTATGGCTAATAAACAAATAGATATTTTGTATACCTTACAGCCGAATAGAGCAATCGCTTACACTAAAACATATAAGGAAAAACTTGATAGTAACACCACCGCAATGACTGAAATTTACGAGGGAATGAGAAAGTTCCACTAGGAACTTAATCTTTCGCGTAGCGCACGTCAACAACACTCTCGTGCTTTCTCACGAACTAAGAAAACCTACTTTATTTTTGTTTTTCACACCCATATAAATATCAAGTCCCATCGCGTTGTAGTGAGCCGATGAATTTGACGATTTAACCTTTTGCTTCGAGCATTTTATAACCTCCATAAAAAGGAATTGTTCGGGACACTGAGTACCTATGAAATGGTCGAGGGCCAATGTGTGATTGAATTGAACTTATACTTCCTATTAAAAGTGTATAGTAAAGTATCAGCCTATACATGTCCCACTGTCGGGCAAAGACATCCTCTGTACAGAGGGTATCAGGGCATAGTCCACCACGAGGCGCCACTGCGGATTGGCGGACTTCACATATCTTCGGAATATTTTTATTATTATTTCGAACATATGCAGGTTTTCCTTCACCGCTGAGCACGTGATAATTCAGCACTTGAAATTAACAATTTCATTGGTGCTGGCACCGGGGATCGAACTCAGTTTGCTCGAGTATATTGAATTAAAGGCGAGCGCCCGGACACTGAACTATCACGGCTCGTACGTGTATCGAAGTGAAGGTTCGATTCCCACAGCGGCGACAATCTTTTTTGTACTTTTTCTACAAATTTTAATGTTTAATCTTAAGTGCAGAGATTAGCACTATAAAAAAATTTAAATTTCCAAATCAAAATTAATAATCTAAAAGCTACGTGTAAATTACGCACTACGTTATGATGTTAAATACTTATAATAACTATCTTTAAAGAAGGAGTAATTAGCTAATAGCTCGCATTAAATTGTAATGTAGGACGATGAGTACTCAGTGACAATATCAACACATTAACGGCGATTGTAAACATTAATAACGGGCGACCTATTTATCCGAATTACCATATCGGCGCCGGGAAATTATAGTGTGTCAATCCATACTTTAAACGAGGAAAAGTTTTAATTGACTTATTGTACGTATCCACTCATTTATTCATAGTTTTGTATTGTTTTAAAAAAACTGGTAGTCAACTTGTAGTGACAATTTGTTATAAGCTTTTAAAATGTAAATGATTTTTTTAAAATACTATTTCCTGCACTTAAGATGATAATGTATGAACTTTTTATTGAGCTAAACTTTTTAAAGCTATGTAGCATTTTATACCAAATAAAACAAGTTAATAGAACATGCAAGAACAAAGATGAAATTTTGAACTACTACAGGATTATTAAAATCAATAAATTATTACAAATTATAGGTCACTAGATTCGAAACATACTTTGTAATGAGTTGGCTTTAACAATTTCTTATTTGTAAAACTTTTTTCTTGCAATAAACATGAATATTTGTGTTTATTTTTTTGGGAGTAAAAATATTGAATGGTAATTTGTGTACCACAACTATTTGCAAAAAATTGTGCTGAAATTAAAGTCTCGGTGGCCTTGTTTGAGTTGGATTAGATTCATCTACATAAGCCCTTAAGCTCGCTCTTTAATCAAGTCCACGGAAGCGAGATAACACTTGGCACGTTGAGTTAGAATTATACAAAATATAATCTCATGCTCTCGACCGTAACAGGCTAGACTTATTAATTCCGAGAACGTGCCTTGTGTGAAATGTTAAAAATGATTTAAATACGCAAACAAAAAGCAAGCTGGGTTTTTTTTTAACCTAAAAAAAATCTAATAGGTGTACTGAATTAGGATAGACATGTATTGAAATGCAGTTTTCCTGTAAGAGAGTACACGATTCAGATTTTGTGTTGTATTTTTCTTATTATTATCATATCTCAGGAAATGGACAGTGGGGGGGCCGCCAAGTTATAATATAGTATCGATGTGAATTATAGTATCGAAGATGTCGGCTTCGGGATGCGGGCGCGGTAGGCGCGGAGACCGCGGGGAAATCGACGTGCAGATGCTAGCTCCAGGTGGAAGGAGGAGCGCGGAAAGCAGGCGAAATTACAACTGCAACGGATGTGGAGCGACGGGACACAGTTATGAAGCCTGCCGTTTCCGTGACTACGTGTGCAGCAAGTGCAAGCGCACTGCTCACCTGCGGCGCGTTTGCACCTGGGCGTGGGCGTGGGGAGTGCCAGGAACAGCGCTTTGCATCATGCGGAGGAGACTGGTGGCGATGCTGAAGAGAGCCACATTGAAGAGTTTCATCATCTCTGCTTAAATGATTATAAGGCGGTAAGGTTGCCAGTGATTATTGAAAACAAAATAATCGATATGGATGTCGATACTGGGACAGCTGTATCTTGTATTAGTGAACAAACATACAGACAATGCTTCAATAATTTAAAGTTGCAACCAACAAATATAAGGTTAAATTTTTACAACGGTTCAACAATTAGTCCGTTAGGGATGATAACCCCAAGAGTTTCATATGGTAATGTCAAAAAAGTATTATAATTGTTTGTTTTACAAGGTGGGACGACATCGCTTGTGGGTAGACAATGGTTATCGGAGTTAAAAATAAAGATACCATTATTTAGCAACTGTCATAGTTTGCGCAGCGATGAACTTGAATTAGATAACCAATTAAAAAAACTGTTTTCCAGGTATAAGGATTTATTTAATGGTGAGCTGGGGCGGTACACGGGCGGCAAGGCTACATTAAAGATCCGCGAGGGGGCAGCGCCAGTGTTTCACCGAGCGAGACCTATCCCATATGCGCTGCGTGAGCGCATCGACGCCGAGCTAGACGCGATGCTGTGCGACGGCGTTATCGAGCCTGTCGACTGCTCCGACTGGGCCTCACCACTGGTACCAGTTAACAAGGCCGATGCGTCGTTAAGAATTTGTGCCGACTATAAAGCCACAGTTAACCCTGTTTTGTTTGTTGATCGCTACCCTTTACCGAGAATTGAAGATATAATGGTTAGGTTGAGAGGATCGAAATATTTTTCTAAGATCGATCTATCTCAGGCTTATAAACAAATTGAGTTAGATGAGACAAAAAAATTCACGGTGATTAATACACACCGCGGATTATACCAGTATAACAGATTAGTATACGGCCTAGCGTCGAGTGCGGGGATATTTCAATGAATATTGTATTATTTATTGAAGGATATTCCCAATGTAGAGGTTTTCTTAGATGACGTTATAATAGGCGGGAAAAGTAAAATAGAACACGTACAAGCCGTAGAGGCTGTTTTTAGTAGATTACATAAGAATGGTCTAAAATTAAAAAGTCAAAAGTGTATATTTCTTGTAAATGAGGTACCGTTTTTGGGTTATGTGCTCAGTAAGGATGGGGTTAAGACTGATCCGAAGAAAATAAAGTCAATTTCTAAATTACATAGACCTACTAACGTCACAGAGCTACGGTCCTTTTTAGGTTTTATTAATTTTTACGCGAAGTTCGTGCGCAATATGAGTTGTCGTCTGGTACCGTTGTATCAATTATTAAAAAAGGGTGTAAAATGGAGTTGGACAAACGAATGTGAACGCGCATTTAAAGAGGTTAAAGGGTTATTAGTCAGTGCCGAAGTGTTAGCTCATTACGATCCCCAGCGGCCAGTTATAGTAACGTGCGACGCGAGTGCTAAGGGAGTAGCGGCCGTGCTCTCTCAGCTGAGCGAAGACGGCAGTCGCGAGCGCCCCGTCGCTTACGCATCTCGTACGCTCAGCGATGCGGAAAAAACTATTCGCAAATACATCGCGAGGCGTTGGCGATTATATTCTCCGTAAATAAATTTCACCAATATTTATATGGTCGACATTTCGTATTGCGAACCGACCACAAACCGTTACGTGTCGATTTTTTGTCCATACACGGGTATACCGACCATGGTCGCCAGTCGCATGCAACGGTGGGCAATTATTTTGTCTGCGTATTCTTTCGATATTGAGTACATACGCACCGATATGAATGGAGCGGACGGTCTGTCGCGTTTACCGCTACCGTGTAAACTGATGACTCATGCGGCGCCCGAGCAAACGTATTTACATTTTGTTCAATAAGCTTTATTATTAGATTATAACGAAATTAAGAATCAGACAGCTCGTGACCCAATTCTTTCAAAAGTGATTAGTTACATAAGGGATGGTTGGCCAGGAGAGTGTAGTATAACTAGTTTACGACCTTTTTTCAATCGTAAGAATGAGTTATACGAGGAAATAGGCTGTGTTATGTGGGGGCACAGATTAGTCATTCCTGAGGCTTGTAAGGAACAAGTGCTTCACATGATCCACGAGCCCCACATGGGTATAGTTAAGTCGAAGGCAATAGCCCGCAGCTACGTGTGGTGGGCTGGGGTACGCCACCACGACAGACTCCCTGTCTGTGGCCGTGGCCTAATCGTCCGGGGTCTAGGTTACATCTAGATTTTATGGGACCGATATTCGGTAAAACTTATCTCGTTATAGTCGACGCAATGTCGAAATGGTTGGAGGTCAGTCAAGTTTCTAGTACAGCTGCTACCAGTGATAGATAAGGTGAGTGAACTTTTCAGTCGTTGGGGACTACCCAAACAAATTGTCACGTTAACGGCCCGCCATTCTCTAGCTCCGAATTTAGGAATTTTGTAAATAACCATGGAATCCGTCATATCCTCACGGCACCTTATCATCCCGCATCTAACGGTTTAGCGGAAAACGCGGTTAAAACACTAAAGCTAGTGATAAAGAAAGCTGTCTCAGAAAGACAAAACGTAGAAAAGGCTCTGTATACGTATTTACTACATTATAGGAACACGGAACACTCGACCACTGGCGACAGTCCAGCTATGTTGCTACTAGGAAGGCGGCTACGCACTAAGCTAGATATTTTAAAGCCGGATAGGGAAAATAGAAATTTTAAAGTTCAGGAATATGGATTCTGGAACCTTCGGAAGAAGTTTGGTACAGGCAATATTTGAAGGGGGAAAGGTGGGGCGCCGGACAGATAGTAGAGATAATGGGGCCAAACAATTACAAAGTGGGAGGTAAGGATGGCGAAATACATCATAGACATATTGATCAATTAAAAAGGAAGTCCTTAAGACCTTCAATGACATGTCGGTCAGAACAAAATTCGGAGCGCAGCATAAATTCAATCGACGAATTACCGATGACGAAGGAAGTGGGGGATGTCCGGTCGGAGCAGGTGGCATCTCGTGATGAGCCGGGGGGGTTGGTAGGTTCGGAGGTCGAATTAGTACCGGAGGTTTCGGCGTCCAAAAACCTCAGCGATAGCCCGGGATCACCAGTATTTGAAGACGCCTTGCCCAACGTGACACCGCCCCTACAAGGTCGGCCTATAAGGCAATGCAGGCTTAGGAAACTGATTAAACATTATGATTAAAAAAAAATAGTTAATATATAGAATAAGCAATAAGCTAATAAATTTAGTGCGGAGGAGTGTAATGTAAGGTAGAATAAGTTAAAAAAAACCGCATCAAGATCCGTTGTGTAGTAGATCTAAGCATACATAGGGACATACAGACAGCGGGACGACTTTGTTTTATATTATGTGGTGATAAAATATAATAAATCATGTACCAAGAGATCTTTAAGGACGATCCAAACTTCCCTTGATATCAATCATATATTGCTACAAACTAAAAGAAAAAAAAACCGCATCAAGATAAGTTTGTGTAGTTTTAAAGATCTAACGCATTCCAGAAATCGGGACGACTGTGTATATTATTGGTGATAAAATATCCATACTCAATTTTTCGAGTTTTTTTTAGAATCTTAATAGATCTATCTATTAATCTAATCTTTTTTTACATCATGTAACGGATGATTTTGTCAAGATGTAAATAAAATTAAATATTATTTAAATAATATTAATGAATTCGTAGAAAGCTAATACGCCTGAGATATGTGTTCCTCAAGGTTAGAATACATATAAACTGATATTTCTCAATGGTTCAAAAAAATCATTACCTAGTCTCAAAATTTATAGATTAACTAGAATAATAATCATAAAATGTCATGCAACCGTTACTGGTCCTAATTCTATAAAATGTGAGGAACTTTATCTAAGGAAAATTTCATTATAGTCCTGTGTAGCCTGTCTTGTTTTGCTCCGATTTTTTATGCAATTCGTTTAAGCTCGACAAATGCAGAACTTTATTCCGAAATTTACAGAATTAGTACCTATGTTCGCAATTCAGGTTACAAACGGCATCCTGTATCTCTAAATGCTACGCTATGCGTCATGACGTCAAATGCCCGTAAATCTTCCGAGAGCAGGCCTACTAACAACAACTTCATTAACGTAACCAATAGGAAATTGTTATATTCTAACGAGCAATTTGTTATACATGGGTATACCTTACGAGGATTTGTCCTAAGATGGTGTTTTCTAAAAAAAAGCAATAAATATAATTAGTAATTTTAATTTCGTTCGTTAGCTAACAAGCTGAAACGTGTTGTAAGTCTTAAGTTTTATTTATATTACAGTCATACTTTGGTTGGACCTAAATATTTATAGAGATTCTCTGTTACGAAGAGGCTATTCCCAATTGTAGTCCCGGTGTTATAGAATAGGACAAAGGTATTACCTGCCTGTTGTAAAAGGCGACTTAAAGGGGACATTGAGTTGACAGACTAGCGGCAGTACGAAGTGGTCTCGTGCTGTTGCTGCAGGTTTATCTTTTTTCGAAGCTCATGCACATATGAGGGACCCACTCCTACCCCCGACATAAAAAGAGGTGCAATAAAATTTGTATTCATTGATAAAAAAACAATAAACACACATTATTAAGCACGTAAGAACTAAGAAAATGAGTAAGAAGTGCTTATATATACTTTTCTGTATCATCTGTTAAGTGTGCAGCCCCTCAGGTGATATGCATACCCATGGGTGCCGATAAAAATTTGTCTTCAAGTGGATCACCTGTTCGCTTACCATTATATCCTATTAAAATATGAACACCTGTATATGATGCAAGACGATCATAAATTAAACTAAGGTCAAATGCAAAAATCACAGATTAGAATTCTAAAGTTATCCGTAGAGTTAATCAAGCGACCACGGTCAATTTCAATGGTGGAACTTCAAATAGCACCGTTCGGTTAAACACGAGTATTAATGAGTCGAGTGCAAGTTACTTCAGTCACTAGCAGTTCCTACAACTCGTTACGGTAAGTGAAGGGAAAGTTTCGATGAATTTCGGCTGCACTGGGATGATATTTTAATGCTTTATTTCAATTTAAATCAGGTTAAAAATGTTATTTAATATTTTATTGCGTCTCGTTAGAGGTAGGGCACCAAGCTGCTAGTAGTATCAGGTTTCAAGTTTGAATTGTCAATTACTTCTTATGATAACTAGCTTTGCAGCTCAGATAGTTATTACAAGGAGTAGTTGAGAATTAGTTTAAAGTGATGCTAAGAAAGAGGTTAAGCAATTTTTTCACTAAAATCGATTATAATTCATTATATTCATTATAATTATCTCCTTTATGTTTATTTTAATCTTAAAAAAAAAACATTGGCGTTACTTTATAATTGTCCTGCCTTGTAAGGACGTTTTACAAATGTACATTTCACGCGGACAAACACCCAGATGCGGTACAATTATGGGTATATTTGTGTGGGTCACACAAATAGTTGTCCCATTTGGGAATCTAACCCACGACCCCCGACGCCGAAGCCAATTGGCAACTGCGCCGCGGAGTCATTATATTTTACATTATTATATTTTGATGTGTTGTAATTTTTTGTAAATCGCATTAATTATTAGCCAAAATTCAATAAAAATAAAGTAAATAAATACTTTGAGATTGTCGATGATGTCAAGACAATTCACTGAGTATTGAGAAGTTCAAAGGTAAAATATTCGTATACTTATTTGTCATTCTTTGTTTGTTAATAATTTTATTTCTTTTTTCGTTATTTATGTGATAAAAATGCTGGTGTCCGATAACAATCCTAAATATTTATAGCGTATGACACAGTTCAGCATAGTGTTGGCCTATTAAAATTTTTATTTACAAAGCTAAATTCAACTAAAATCTCAGTAGAAGAACATGCACTTACTATTTATTCAGGACTTTCTTCCCTATGTAATGGTTTCATTATGGATTTCTTTAATACCCCAGGAAATCTACCGTCACTTATACAAAGATCATCTTATCTCGTATCTTTGTGGCGATGCCACATACGTAGAACATAACATACGGTGTAGACGGTGCCATAAATATAGCCTTAAGCCTTGCTCTTGATAAATACCGTAGATAAGTGCAGCTCTGCGTTGATTATAATAATTGTTTTATTTATAAAGTAATGTTTAAAAGAGTTGGCTGTGCAATATACCTACTATTATTATTACAATATTATTATTTTCTATTTTAATTACGGAAACGGTATTCGATAACAATCCGTTACATTTATTTATAACTTTAGATTTATTATGGAACGTTTAAATTCTGTGATCATTTTGTGCTTTTTTTTATAAAACTCATAATTTTTCTATTGGTTATAACTATATTAGGTTTTAACCTTTTTTGTCACAGAACATACAGCGTGTCGTTACAACCGCGACAATAAATGAACACACATCTAACTCTACTCGCCAACAATCATAAAAAAATATAATACGTTAAAAATCCGTAATGTAAAAAAAAATATTTTTCAACAAACTAATTAAATAAAAAAGAAACAAAATTTGTAACATCCTATACAACTACAACTGACTGATTCATACATTCAGAGACTTTTTCATTCGTTGCCAAAACATCGCATTACAAGTTTCTCCTTCTAACATTGTGTTTTATCTTTTTTAAATTCATTAAACCCATTCATATGCTTTGTGACATTTACAAATGAACTTTACGTTTCAGTTTTATACGTAAGGGTGTACTAAAAATGTTTGTTTTGTAAAATTTAATAACTCGGTAAATATTGATGTTTAAAGAATGTATATGCTTAAAACAATTTTAAAAAGTTAATCTCTATATATGTGTTCATTTATTGTCGCGGTTGTAACGACACGCTGTATATAACTATCTCCCCAGAGAGGTGATGATACGGACAAATCAACAATCAATGTGCAATTAGACTCGATCTAAAGCCACGCTAACTGTAGGCAAACTAAGTTAACTATTACTGAATATATACACAACCTGATGTCTTGCAGCGATCGTATTCACGGTACTTGTAATATTAACATAAAACAACACAACATAAAATTTGTGGAGCCATTTAAATAGTTTTATTCACGAATCATAAGCTTGGCTGGCGTGACCGCGCTACCTGATAAAATGTTTTATAATTACTGTTAAATATTTATTTTGATTGTTACCAAAAACAATGCGTTAATCTGATTTTTTTTCTTATGGGTGCTATTCACAAGTTAAATCTTAAACTTGATAATGATATAATGATGTTTCAAAGGCAATTTGCAAAAACAGTAACAAACATAAATTGCTAACATCGTTCAATCTCGCTCTGAATTCATTTTATAATCGATTTTCAGGAGTTCCCTGAAGTATCTCAACCCAACATCCAATACCAATAAAATTAATATGGGACTAAACCCAAACGAACCACTACTGCAAGACAACATACAATTAGCTCCCTCTGCATAGATCGGACACAAAATTAATAATTCAAAAACTGACGGTAGCCCGGGTTAACTATGACAATCAGACGTCTAACACCTCAGTCTGTCCCGTGACCATGAATGCTGTAAAGGGTTCGAAACGTCGGGAATTAAAATTAAAAATAAACGCGATAAATCCGTAAAATTAGTTTCATTTATAATGTGTAATCGCGCAAATACAAGAAATTATTAACTAAACCCAACCCAATACGAAGAAGAAATTTCAAAATCGGTTCATAAATGACGTCGTTCTGAGTTAACAAACAAAAAAAAATACAAACGAATTGAGAACCTCCACCTTTTTTGATCGGTTGAAAAGACAGCGTCGCTATAGATGATGCAATATGAAATTGAATACAGTATTGGTACTGTATTCAATTTAATATTACAACATTAATCATCAATAACAAATTCTCTTTTGATTTACTATATGCTCTACTATGAACGAAATAGAAAACATTCAATATCGGATCCGGTGATTGCACGAATCGACGAAGCAAATTATTCACTACTCACGCCCTCGTTTTACTTTACTGACTCCATTATTCTTTATTAATGTTCTTTCAGCATTAAACACATAAAATATAATAATACAATAAAATTAATCTAAGCCTTTGAGACTCTCTTTTGTTTATATACGAATACCATAAATGGTTTAATTAAACTATTTTACGGATTTACTTTGGTTTTGAAATTGCCGACTTTACCAAAATTACGCATTTTCTTAGAAAGTTTTCGTTTCTTTTTC